CAGTGCTACGCTCGTTGTTTTGAGCGTCGCTCTTCCGCCCTCCGTTGTTGTTGTTGTTGGAGGGCGACTGCCTCCAACTGCCCAGTAGCGTCCTTCACGAGCCTCCTCCACAGAGGCCGATCTTGACACCGCTGGTACCAGTCATCGGCAAGTCCACTCAAGCGAGCACGGTGTGACGCACATCCCTGTTCGTGACCCTGAGCCAGTGGTCAGAATTCCACATTCCATGGCGAGGGCCAGTACATCTGATTGACAACCGCCGTGAACTTCCCCACAAAGTGGTATGAAAGTTTTCAATTGGGATGACGGGTTGTGTCAAACCCATCAACCCGGATTTCAACTGGCTACTTTCTGATCGTGAGTCAAGCACATTTAACCCAACTGACAGCCTGTCTGATGAACTCGATGGGTGCTTGCAAATGTGATCAAATCCAGCACAGGGAATGCTGTGGTGTTATTCCTTGGGCTAATCACAGATCAACGTAAGGCGCTTGGAATTACGTACAGCATCTACGCGGTCCGATGTCTCGAATCTATGTCGATTTCCTCGATCGCTCGACACACGGATCGCACCGCGCGTGCAGGAGTTGATGTTACAGACGATCAGCTCACGATGCAACAATCCATCTAGCTCCAGCACGAGAACTGATTTCATCGCTCCATCTCCGTGGTTCGTTGTGACCTCAAGTATGCTCCCTCCATGGGCCCGTCCAAGCCCAAGGCCACTTTTATTAATGAGTAACTCGTACAGTGTACTATGTACGGTACAGTACTGAAATCGTTTTTCTCTAATGCATGAGTGTCCCTTTACGTAAATCTCCTTCCAAGCACGCAACTCAAGATGCTTGCATTTTTCAGTTTGTGTTTCGTTCTCTTCTTGGTTATTTCGGTAAAGTCACATAGAAGGGAAATAATAAAATAATAAAATTTTAACATAATAAAATTTTAATTCTCACGATGTTTCGGCCACAACACGGCTGCTTGCGTTGTGGCCGAAACGTCGTGAGAATTTTTTTTAAATTATGTTTTATTTTTATTATTTTTATTTCCCTTCTACGTGACTTTACCGAAAGAACCAAGAAGACGAATCCCTACAGTCACGAAAGCTTTAAATCGAAATTTCATTCTCTTCATGAAAGGTGAAACACTGCGAAGTAGAGCGGGCTTGTTGAGCAGGACGCGTCGCTCAGAGGCTTCGTGAAGGCCACTGGCCGAGGCTAACGACGGAACAGCAGCCAAAGGAGGGAACCCGCCAGAGGGCACGTCCACTGCAGGAGACGAGCGCAGGTGCTGGGTGGATTGTTACATCGCTCACTCATGCGCAGGCTCTGGGTGTAGTGGTGGATCGCGAGGGCTTGCGGAGGCGTTCGTTCCGCAATGGATAGATCGTGGCTGATGGTGATGATACAAAACATGCAGGTCCATGCATGCCAGTGCGTGAGAACCAAGTGAGATCGCATAGTGCCACACTGCCTCCTTCACCAGCTCCCCTCCCAGCATAACCCATCAGGACTTTTACCTCCCATGACATAATAGAGAAACGGGGACGAAAGCTTTCTCCTTGTCTCGGAGTGGTGTTCTCTGTGTCGGTGTTGCTGTTGACCGATGTCCTTTTAATTCCCGAATGCTGAATTGCGAGAGGCTGTGCAAATGTCTCGCTTTTTAAAAGGGCATTCGAAGCTGTCTCCAAGTCGCTGGAGCGAGTGGTGAAGTTGACTTTTTTTTATTAATCACAGAAGGGCAAATTTCGATTTAAAGCTTTCGTGACTGCAGGGATTCATCTTCTTGGTTCTTTCGGTAAAGTCACGTAGAAGGGAAGTAATAAAATAATAAAAATAAAACATAATAAAACAATTCTCACGACGTTTCGGCCACAACGCAAGCAGCCGTCCTCAGGTGAAAACCAGGTCCGTCGAGGCGACAGAGTCTGAATGAAACAGCACACGAGCTTGGAGCATATATATAAGCTGGGCGCATTGACAAAGGAATTTGTATATCAAAAGGAATTTAGCAGTTCAGCAGCAGCAGCAACTGCAGCAGCAGCAGCAACTGCAGCAGCAGCAGCAACTGCTGCAGCAGCAGTAACTGCAGCTCCCTTTGATGCTGTTAATCCTGCATAATGCACATGCATATGCAGTACTAATCACATTCCTGCATTTCCCATAAATATGCTAAATTCCTTTTGATATACAAATTCCTTTGTCAATGCGCCCAGCTTATATATATGCTCCAAGCTCGTGTGCTGTTTCATTCAGACTCTGTCGCCTCGACGGACCTGGTTTTCACCTGAGGACGGCTGCTTGCGTTGTGGCCGAAACGTCGTGAGAATTGTTTTATTATGTTTTATTTTTATTATTTTATTACTTCCCTTCTACGTGACTTTACCGAAAGAACCAAGAACACAGAAGGGCACTTGTGTCAAACGTTATAATGTACGAGGCTTGTCAGTGTGGGTGTTTTTATCTTCGGTGTGTGTGGGGAGCGGTGGCGTAACGGTCAGCGCACTGTGCAACCGACACGGTGACCCGGGTTCAACGCCTGCTTATGGCCAATATCTGAATCGGCCAGGGGCAATCCCCTCGTTCGACTCAGCTTTCAAATTAATAGCTGGCGTGGTGTATGAACATCACCACTGGGGAGACAAAAGGCGACTAGGCATGGTTCTGGCCACACTACTCGCTGGTGAACCGTGCCGGCAATCATAGGTGCTTGCAAGCAGCGCTTTCACCAACAGTCTGTTAAAGACTGCAAGGTGGAGGATCCTTGTCTTAAACTAGATTCGAAGCTTTCGTGACTTGCAGGAATTACTCTTTGGTTCTTTCGGCAAAGTTCACGTAGAAAATAAAATAATAGTAGAATACGACGTTTTGATTGCAACACAAGCAACCATCATCAGGATAAGAATGAATGGTAGAACACAGACACGGAAACAACATAGGCAGACACACATGCAGAGACACACACAAAGACACACTGAGCGAAACACACCAAGGAAACACAGACAGGTCGGTGTGTCTTTGTGTGTGTCTCTCTCTGCATGTGTGTCTGCCTATGTTGTTTCCGTGTCTGTGTTTTATCATTTATTCTTACCTGATGATGGTTGCTTGTGTTACAATCGAAACATCGTTTTCTGTTATAATTTGATTTTATTTTCTACGTGACTTTTCCGAAAGAACCAAAGAGTGATCCTATAGTCTTGTTTGCACCTGGCAGAGCAAGTGCTGTTAGTGAGCACCTATTAAGAGCAGCACCACCTTGCATGGACAGCACAGCCGTAAAAAAACACACATGACCCCCAAGTTTTCCAGCTTCTATTTGCAAATCGAACGAGGCTCATTTAAGGGGCCGGGCTGGCCAGCTTGCTTGTCACATCCTGTTGTGCCGCCCCAAGCATTATTTTTAGTGTCTGCCATGCTTGTAAACACCTGGCTGCCTTGTCGTGGCCGTTGGGATTGTATTTGCTCCCTGGAGATAAGAAAAAAAACATCCTTTTCCGATCACTGCCCCAGGGCACTTCGTCTGCTGGAGGCTCACCCACACTTTGATTACAGACCACTCACAGTCTTTGGCAAAAACAAAATCAATGGGACGAAAGGAAAGTGCTTTAACGGGCGGGTTTCCTGCTCTCAGGGGCGAGGACCCGTGAAATTAAACCACTCCTCCTGTTAGGAACCATGTGCTGTCTAGTGGCTCTGGCTGAGTGGCAATGATTGCAAAGCCGTTGTTTTAAAAGACGCAACTTAAAGATCAAAGAGTCCTTCGTCTTATTTGGTGTGGAGGTGGGGAGAATTGTTCCCAAATTTTATCCAGATTTTGATATCAGCGTCGTGCCTTGTCATGAGATGAAAGTAGCATTTGGATCTCACACAGAGCAGTCGCATGTCTTCATGTTCGAGACGGAGGAAGCGGACACCGCAGAACTGTTTCTGAGATTTACGTCACGTGGTTTTTGTTCCACGCGGTCAAGGGCCGCACCTTCCCACCACATGAGAGGAACGCATGTTCATGGCAGTCAAACTGATATTTTCATTCCCAGAAGTGGAAAAAATTGCCACATTTCATTACAGAACCAAATTTTGTGACAGTTTATTTGCTCAGTCATTAGTTGACCGAGCTGAGAACATCAACTCGCTTGAGGTACCCGGTATAATCACAGGCGGTGGCTGAAACCTGGATTCGAATCCAAGATCTCACCGGTGCCGACTTAGGCACTCACCCGACGGCCACCTCCATAACCACAGAACCCTTGCATTGTAGAGACGTGCCTGATGATAAGCTCTTGGCACGTAGACTGAAACGTCGGGCATCATTGCGGCAACAACCCGAAAACACGACGGAAAGCTACGCGGCACATCCGCGAAACTCTTACGCCAGACACCAATGCAAAGGCTTACTCATGAAGAGACATGGGCTTCTGCTATAATGGACATGGGTATAATGTGACTGGGGTGCGTGAGTGCTTGTCAATAATTAATGGGGTGTTTCGAAAAGGGCTCTCCTCCCCATGCACGCGACCCGACCCGGGTGTAGTTTTACCGTTTTACCGTGGGTGCTGCTGCTGTTAATGTCCATAAGAGGCTTCGTGAGTGGAGTAATGTGATGGAGGCGGGCGATGATGTCGCTTTATATTACCCGTGTGTGCGCGAGGATGATTGCGGTCTGCACTGCGGGCAGCAGCAGGAAGCGCAGCACAACGCTTAGCGCGCTGCTACTAAACCCTGCGACCTGGGTTCGATTCCCGCTCACGAACGATAATAATGGCGAATATTTCAACCGGTCCTGGATCTCCAATAGTTCGCTTCAAATGAATAGCTGGTGCGGTGTGTGAGCATCGCCACTCGGGAGGCAACGGCAGCAGCTGGGCAGTGGTGCTGGCCACCCAACCCTTTCGTGCTGCTGTGCCGGCCTTCTTCATTGTTGCTCGCGAACAGTATTTGCCCCAAAAGTTTGCTCCAGGCTACGTGGGGGATCTTTATCTTTATCCTTGTTCCTGCATGCAGGTGCGCAAGGCGGTGAGCGTGTGCACCTGCCCGGCTCAGTTCCCCGTGCGGCGCGTGGCCGACGGGAAGTACCGCGTGGGGGACTCGAGCACGCTCATCCACGTGAGGGTCAGTGACCAACCCCCACGGCTACCCACGAGGGCTGCCTTTATTATTATGTTGTCACAGTGATGACAACAATGACACTTCCAATGATGATGACGATGATTTTGGGAGTGGTGATGATGACATTGATGATGAATATGGTGACGATGACGTTGGGAGTGGTGATGATGACATTGACGATGAATATGGTGACGATGATTTTGGGAGTGCTGATGATGACATTGATGATGAATATGGTGACGATGACGTTGGGAGTGGTAATGATGACATTGATGATGAATATGGTGACGATGATTTTGGGAATGGTGATGATGACATTCATGATGAATATGGTGACGATGATTTTGGGAGTGGTGATGATGACATTGATGATGAATATGGTGACGATGACGTTGGGAGTGGTGATGATGACATTGATGATGAATATGGTGACGATGATTTTGGGAGTGGTGATGATGACATTGATGATGGATATGGTGACGATGACGTTGGGAGTGGTGATGATGACATTGATGATGAATATGGTGACGATGATGTTGGGAGTGGTGATGATGACATTGATGATGAATATGGTGACGATTATTTTGGGAGTGGCGATGATGATGATGATGGTAACGATGATGACAGTGATGATGGTAACGATGATGCCACTTGACTGCCCCGCAGATCCTGCGCAGCCACGTGATGGTGCGTGTGGGCGGAGGTTGGGACTCCCTGCAGCACTACCTGGACAAGCACGACCCTTGCCGCTGCATGTCCTCGGGTACACCAGTCTCTCTGCCTGCCTGCTCACCCACACGTACTCCCGTTCACCCACTCACCCACTGCCCGCCCGCTCGACCTCCCATTCCCACCCCTAGCCCGCTCACCCGCTCTCCCGCGCTTCCATACTCACGTACTCTCCAACTCACCCACTCCTCGCCCGCCCGCCTGCTCGCTCGCTCGCTCGCTCTCCAGCTCACCCACTGACCTGCTCACCCACTCCCTGGCTCACATGCCCACTCGCTTGTTCATGATTGATTAGGAACGATCGGACACATGGAGTTACCGATAATAAGTCGCAGTTAACGAGCAGCCGTCACATCTTTATATTCAGAATTCTATTCCAATTGTATGGTCGTGTAAAGTGGGACAGTAAGAGATGGCGTCGGTGGCATGGGAAGGCCTTCATCCAGCAGTCAATAGACCACAGCTGTTATATGTTTATAATTTTTGTTATTTGACCAATATTAATTTTACCAAGTTATTTGACATTTCACACTGCTTTGGATTCCCACTGCTACTGCAGTACACTCGTCGCGAGGGCCAAAGTAAAACATAATCGATTTGCGAATTCACGGTGTGAATCGTCAAATCCGCTCCTCGCAGGGTCAAGGGTTAATGCGCTGCGAGCGCTTTCTCTTGGGCGGCTGGGCTCGGCTGATAGCGGTGTTTATTTTGCGTTGCTTTGTGTCACTGTCAGCTCACCGCCGGGTCTGGCAGCAGCAGCAGCAGCTGCAGCAGCAACAGGAGACGGACTTCCAACGCAGCCCGCCCTCGAATCCGTCGCACTCCTCCCCAAAGCGTAAGGCGGAACCCAATCAGGATCCACCCTCGCGGAGGTCAACCACCCGGACGACCCCATCGCTGTCCCGGAGCTCCACCCCGCTCAGGTGACAAACGCCGTCATTTTCATCAGTCGCCATCGGCGTGTTCGACGGTTACTGTCATCGTCGTTGTTGCCATCGTCGCGCTCATGTTCATCACCGTCACTGTCATCATCATCATCATCACCGTCATCATTATAGTTTTTGTCATTACTAATCATTGTTGTCAACGTTCTATAATTCATCATCATTGTGGTCAACGTTGTTGTAATCATCACAGTCGTTATCGTTACCGTCATCACGTTCAACAACATCATCAACATTGTCTTCGTCTTGCTTAACAATAAGAATAATTTTCAGTCAACTTCTGGACAAAGGCCTCCTCATGCTGCATTGGCCATCTGGGTTGTTTGACCATACTTCACCACACTGGTCACTACGGGATAACATCACGAAGCCGTGAGAAATGGCCGCCAGCTTGGGGAGGCTTTCATCCAGCAGTGGAGTGCTGATGAGCTATTGGACCGGCTCTAGATACAGGAGACAACTTAACCGAACGCTTGCGCCCCACGGGACGTCACCGGTTCCCACGTCCCCTCTCGCTGCCTCCAGGTCGCAGGCCGAGAGGCTCAGCGTGTCGCACAACGGCCCCTCGAGCCCGAGATCCCGTGACCACAGCGCACCCCCAACCAGGGACCACGCGGATGGGCGGGGACCCCTGCCGGCCAGCAACGCCAGCAAGGGGGGCACGCCTAAGACCTCTTCGCCCAAAACCACAAACCGCATCGCTGCCGCCCCCACCGCCACCGCCACCCCCACCGCCGGGACCAGGCCTCACCGGGATAAGACGCCGCGCGGCTCGCCGCCGTCGGGCATCGCCGGCGTGCCATCTGCGGGCCGCCGCCAGAAGGAAGTGGTGATGATGGTGAACCGCGAGAAGGACGGTCACCACCTGCTGACACGGCTCGAGCCGCGGCTGGCGCCGCGCCGCGGCCGCTCGCATCCGGGCAACCTCCCCGGCGCCCGGCACGAACGCGGCGACGGTGCCGAGGACGAGTCGGCGACGCCGCCGCTGCTGCTGAGCCCCGGGTGGAGGAGGGCGGCGCAGGACGATGGCGGCGGCGACGCCACGGACGGGCTGGGCGACAGCGGCCGCTGGTCACAGGCGTCGGCGACGTCCCCAACGACGAGGGCGGCGGCGGCGCGGGCGGGGCCCACGCCGCCGCGGCCGAACCCCGACTCGGCGTACGCATCGAAAAACTCGTCGGCGTCATCGCTGATCGCGGCCCGAGGCGTCGGCGGCAACCATGGCGCCGTCGAGCGGTCTAACCAGCCGGTGCGGCCGCGCTCGCCGCCACTGGGGTCCGCTTCATCGGCGGCGAGGCCGCGAGCCGGCGCCGGTGGGACGCCGGCATTGCGGCCGCCCCCGATGCGCCGGCAGAGTGGCGGCCCGTCCCCCAGCCGGGTGGAGCAGACGCTGCGGCTGGTGCGCACCAAGAGCGTCCGCAGGAGCAAGCGCGATTGGCAGCCGACGGCGGCGGCGGCGGTGGCGGCGCCGGGCGACGGCGCTGCGAGGGCTGGTCCGCCCGATGGAAAGAACCCACAGCAGCGGCCGGTGCTGAACGGACGTCCAATAAAATCGCCACAGAAGCCGGGCAAGGCGCGGTCGGACACTGCACATGCGGCACATAGTGCGACCGCCAACGGAGTCCGGAATGTGGAGGAGACGCCGACGGTGACGGTGACGGTGGCGCCGTCACCGGAGCAGCAGCCGCGGCGCGCGGGGCAGCAGCAGCAGCTGCGGCGGCCCGACCGTGTGCCGTCCTTCTACAAGCTGAAGCTGCGGCCCAAGATACGTCCTCGGACAGACCGCGTGCCCGATGCGTGCCCGTCCCGGATCCCCGCCCCCAACGGCGTCCTTCCCAGGAGTCGCCGGACCCCGCCGAGATCCCCGGCACAGACGGCGTCGCCAGCGAAGGGCGCGGCACGAGAAAGAGCCCTGGGTCAGGAGGCCACGAGGGATGAGGTTGCCGACGAGTCGTGGGTTTAGCGATTTCGCGGTGGCTACTTGCAAGGTGTCCTCTCTGAATCAACGAGCGCGGGGAGGCTGCGGTGTCTTCTGCTGGGGGGTGGGTCCTGAGCCAGTGGTAGAAATTCTACATTGCTGTGGCAGCGATGAGTCCCTCCGGTGAGGATAGGTTGCCACCTCCTGAAGTTCATGAAGCCAGAGCATATCTTGGGTATACGAAGAAGAAGAATAATGTATCACAATACCGGAAGCAGGGAGAACTGCGTGTTGAGTGGTTTATTCTGATTTTATTGAAAAAATAACAATAACCAGGGCTTTTTGTGGGCCGGGAAAGAATGACAGATGTGACAGGTGTCCCAAGTGAGCTGCGTCAAACAGAGGACAATCCAGGACAGGTAGCAACCCTAGGTGAGGATGGTGAAGATTATGATTGCGATGTTAGTGGTGGTGGTGATGGGAAATGACCAATGGGTTGTTTTCATCGCCATCAGCGATGGGTTTTCCTGAGTTCCACGTCAGGAACCAGTCTATCCAGATGCAATCGATGATGATGGCGACAGTGATGATGTTGACGTCGGTGAATAGGGTGATGATGATCAGAGTTTATTAAGGTTGTGATGATGGATACCAAAACACCCGCTGTTGCCTTACCACAATGTGGTACTTGTTTTATTTAGCCTAGATTGGTGGTGGTGGTGATGCTAGAAAGCTGTGTCAACCCCATACCAGGATGTAAACTGGTAACCTCCCGTGTGAGAACAGCTCTGCTACTACAACTGATTCCTGCCAAGTACAACAACAAGAATAATAATGCTGACAATATTGATATTCCTTTATATTACCAGGCAAGCCTCACTGAATCTCAACACTTTTTCTTGAGAGTCCTGAATGGAGAAGATGTGGAAAATGTCCTTGTTCGGTGACAAAAACGTGGGCGACAACACTGAAACACCCATCGACACATTATAACAATGATTATTATAATTTTCAGCCCTTTATCAATCCACCACTGGATGAAGGCCTCCTCACGCCGGCTCAATCATGACGATTGTTTTTACCATACTTCACCAGGCTCGTCGGTGCGAGTTGGTGAATGTGTGTGTGGGCCCTGCACCGGTACAGAGAGATTGCTTGCAACTGATGTTAGCCGTGTACGGGACTCGGCTGGACAATTCCAAAGCGCCTGCGCGTTAACCACTACACCCCCCCCCCCCCCCCCCCCCCCCACCGAGCACCCTGAGATGAACTGTATAAAAATCTACCGTGACTTTACAATGCCTTATATATGTGTAAATAATATATATAGAAAGAGCAGGTTGCTATTCGAGATAGCCAAAATGCATTGTCCGTTGTTGTCTTGGGACCAGCTGCTTCTTGCGGAAGCTCTCATTCTTGCACTACGTATTTATTAACGCCGGGGCGTTTGTCGCGGGTCTATTATGTACTGATTTGTGCTTGCTGTGCGCAGAGTCACAGCATCGAGGCTGCACCCACGCTTGGGGTGAATTTTTTCACCAGGCAGCTCACTCGCTCGCTCGCTCCCCTACTACTGCAACAACGACGGCAACAAGCTACGACGCATATCGACTGGCAACTTGCATCGTGTGCGGTGGGGCAATGGCACGTGAGACCATGAGACGGCGGGACACTGGTGCGATGAGACAGTGGGTAACGTTGGGAGACCGATACATCGATACAATGCGGCGTTTGAAACACTGAGACAATGGAATAGCAGACAATGGAAAACTAGGACAATTGGACATTGAGACAATGAGACACTGGGGTTCTGAGACAGTGGCACAACGGGACATTGGGTCGTTGGCACTGGGACAATAAAGCAAAGGCCAATGGAACGCTGAGCTAACAGGGGAATTGGACAATGGGACACTGGGATATTGGGACACTTGGACAATTAAGCAGCAGGATACCAGGACAATGGGACAGTGAGACAAAGGGGCCACTGAGAGTGACACCAGCAACCATCCTCAAACAAACACACGAAGACAAAGATCCCCGCTACAGCCTTAGACTGTGTTGTTAGCGAGCACCTATGAAGGCTGGCACGGCACACAAGAGGGTAGGTGGCCAACATTAAACCCTGGATCACACCCACACACACTCAACCACACATGCACTCTCGATCACACACACACGCACTCACGATTACACACACACCCTCACGATTACACACACCCTCACGGTCACACACACACACTCGAGATAACACACTCAAGATCACACACACACTCGAGCATGCCCGATTCTCCAGGTAAACCTCGTGTTCCGTCCCAACACGTCCGCGGACGTGCCAGGGTTCGGCACGTCCTGCTGCTTCGTACGGTGCGAAAGAAGTTCAACATGCACACACACGAACATGCTGGGGCGAGTGTCTCCCATCCCCCACCTCCTACAACATCAGAGTGCAGCGCCACATTAAATACGCACTACAATGACAATAGTTTAAAGCAATTTGAAGCATGTTTTATTTTCAAAATATAAATGTTTTTTGGGGGGGGGGGTGCAAAGCTTTGTGACGTCATATTTGAGGGGGGGGGTCTGACTTTTCGTGACGCCGTCTGACGAGGGTGGGGGGGGGGGGTCAAAAATCATCCAAAATCACGTGACGTCATTTATGGACGGCCCCCTAAACGCCTGTGTCCAGCGTGTGTAAAACAACTCGAAGCAAAAACGTCCCTCCCATCACGCTGACTTGTAGTGGAAACGATGGGACCGTTCCACCTCGGGTATTCTATCAAACCGACTGCTGCCTCTTTTGTTGTCACCCTTGGAAAAAGAGATTCTTAGCTCAATGGGAAATACTCGGGAAATACCATTTATGATCCTTCTGGACTTCTCAAAGTGAGCGCCATTGCTAATTTAGGGCCACTGGGCAGTTGCATGAACCTCTAAAAGTGGATTTCCCCCCCCCCCCCCCACTTTGCCATTTTAAGCAATACAGGTAATGGGGATAAAACGAGGCTAAGTGTTTTGTGAAAACCAGTTGTGTAACGCCCATGACAACGTGACAGCCTCCGTGTGTCGATGTGCATAGGTGAGTGGTCGCCTGGCAACAGACAGTGTGTGGCCCAGGATTAACGCCCACGCTGAGCAAGCGGCTTCAGTTGTCCGATAAAATTTTCCAAAAAAACTAAACCAAACGACGAATTCGTCAGAAACGCTGCTCAAAAAAAGAAAATAGGCGACGTTTCGGGTAATGGCCCTTTGTTGCACATTAATCAATATATCATCATCAGCCATCGTGTAGCTAAATGAAGGCCTCCGCGTGCATAACAGTCCCGTGGCTAGGAGATGTTAACTACCTCGCCTGGTATACAGGAGGTCGTAGGTTCGACCACTACCCTGACGCCTGCTGCTGTATATTTGGAGTTTGCATGTTCTCACCGTGGTCGCGTGGATTTTTCTCCTGGTCCTCCGGTTTTTCCCTCCACATTTACAATCAACACCACGCGTTTAGGTTATTTGGCTGCCATACATTTCCACGTGATGAGCCACTTCGTTCAGCTATCATTTGCATGGGGTGGGTCCACTGTCCTCCCCCTGTTCATAGCTCCGTCGGTCCCGTGAACCCTGGTGCAGTTGCACTGCCTGCACACTCGATCGGAGTCTCAATTCCCTGGTGGAGCATCATCGTCACTTCTCCAGGTGGCTGCAGGCGGCCTGCCACGTGCATCGTGGCAAGGTGCACACCAGACGCCCCTTGACAGATGCTCACTCGTCCGTGGGTGTCAGACGCAGGTCAAGAGGTCACCGTGGCCAAAGCCGTTGATGCCACCACCGGCAGAACCCGCAGCTGCTGCACAGTAGCCACGCAGCGACGTCCGCGATTTGCCCCGACGGTCTCTCGCCATCTGATCTCAGGTCTTGCCCTCGTCTGTCGCACTCGTGGAGACCGTTCCAATGCCCGTTTCGGTAAACGGAAACCTACTCCCCCATCCGTCTGCGCAGCACATGGGGCCACCCAGCGCAACCGTAGATCTTTCGATTTAAAGCTTCCGTGACTGCAGGGATTCATCTTCTTAGTCGCGTAGAAGGGAAGTAATAAAAAAAAAATTTAAAAATGGAAAACAGGTCTGTCGAGAAGGCAGAGTCTGCCTTTCTCGACAGACCTGTTTTCCACCTGAAGACGGCTGCTTGCGTTGTGGCCGAAACGTCGTGAGAATTATTTTGTTATGTTTTATTTTTATTATTTTATTACTTCCCTTCTACGTGACTTTACCGAAAGAACCAAGAAGATGAACCGTAGATCTGTTTGGTCGTGCTAACAACACTTAGGGGCCGTCCATAAATGACGTCACGCACCTAGTGGGGGGGGGGGGGTCAGACATTTGTGACGATGTGTGACGAGGGGGGGGGGGGGTTTGAGAAATGTGACGTCACATCAAAATGCGCAACTTTAAATTAATATAGGGGGGGAGGCGGCAAGACTTTGTGACGTCATATTTGAGGGGGTTCTGACTTTTTGTGACGCCGTGTGACGAGGGGGGGGGGGGTCAAAAATCGTCCAAAATTGCGTGACGTCATTTATGGACGGCCCCTTACACGCTGTGCTTGGTCCCAGACTGCCATATTGCTTATCTTGTTTTCCCGTGATATTACTAGCCAGGGGACACATGTGCTCCAATGCAACATTTTATATGTATATAATGCAATTTTTATTTTATTTTATCTCGTAACACGTAATGGGGAGCGCTTTTCAGGGTGGGGGAAAACTGGAGTTGCCTGCGGAATAACCCTCAAAATTCCGCACGGATAGATTCAAGAATCCATTGCTAGACTGCCATCTTCGGGTCACCGCGCGATCGAGCTTATTTTTTGGGAGTGCCGGAGCTTCAAAAGCGCTCGATTTTAAGTGAGAAAATTTTGCTTCGAACATTAATTTATGACGTTTATAGGGAGGCGGGTTTAGGAGGTGTGTTTCCGTTGGACAGAATATCTTCGCGCCCGCTTTTTTAACTGCTCGAAAAAATTATGGTTACATCGATGCGTTTTCTTGCATGTTTGGGGGGGGAAAGCGGGGAACATTTAATAGTATTTTTCAATGTACTTTGTTTTAAAAAAAATTAGACATACAGTACAACGTCGCATAGCCGACCGTCACGTGTCCACCCTGACCAATTCAACTGCCCGCACTCAAGTGCACACGTTTTTCGCATCGTCTAACTTATCTCCTGTAGATGGTTCCCTTATCAAACCTTTTTCACGTGCAGTAACGCATCACTAATCTCGGGCGAGTTCGCTTCTAAAGCACAGTCAAAGCATTTCCCTGCGTTTTAAAGAAATGTGCTTCTTCGTTTACGTCCAGCATAAATTAAGCGCGAATAGAGTCACCGCCGTTTTAGATGCACGTTCAAATATCCACCCCGTTTTAGCCACCAGTGAGTCGGATACGCGATATTGTATTTCACTTTGTTTTTATATATCTAGATTTGGGGTTTTTATTAAATTCAATCCATCTGTGTAGAAGTCACACGGCGCTGGCAAACAGATGTAAGAGCAATAGTGTCGGTGGAAATATGTGCTTTTTTGCCAACGTTTGGTGAAAGAAAAAAAACCAGCCAGGTTTGCAGAGGGGGGTGAAAAAAAGTTTGAGATTTGGCAACTCTTTCCGTCAGATCGTGGCTGCAAACTGCCTTTCTGCTCGCGGCATGAGTCCATCACCAAGGAGCGTGTTCATTTGCCCACTCAAGTGCTTTATGATTAAAACAAGCGAATGATATAAAACATGTTCAACTCGCCACGTCGGTCGTCTTACACTGCCATAACGCATCGCTAGAAGTGGGTGATGGCTGCCGATCCGAGTCCTAACGTCAGACTGCCAGCCAAAGGAGGGAACGCGCCAGAGAGGACGTGGGACACTGCCAAGATGGAACGATGAAATTGGCCCGAACGCAGGTGCTAGATGGATTGGTGCATCGCAAGAAGGAGCGGCAGTGTCGTGGTTAGCGCGTTGTGCTATGAACCCGACTAACCAAGTTCGATTCCCTACTCATGGCCAACACCAGTGACGATTGTCTGAATCGGTCCTCTGAGTAGCTTGTGCGATGTGTAAATATTGCCACTCTGGAGACAAAGGCGGCTGGGCATGGTGCTGGTCACCTACCCCCTCGAGCGTCGTATCGGTGCTCGCTGAC